CCACCAAATAGCAACTCGTAAAGATCTCAAGGCAGCCTGAGGAAAGACCGCCAAATCTGATCGTCTCATCGTGCGTCGGAGATGTAAACGGCTGCTTTCCTTTGTAACCCTCGGAATTTGGTCTTTCTCCTACGGAAAACGAGCAGCTGGAGACCTGGTTTTAGTGTGTCTGTGTGGGACAAGAATGGACAGCCAACCCACAACTTGGCAGAACGCTTGAAGCCCTGGGTTATGCACTCTAAAGAGCAATTTAATCGGCCGGAAGTACTAGCTTCGCTGTCCTCATGACGAGACTGGACCTTATAGTTGTGCGATGGTTTACGTGCATCAGTTATCCATTGAGCTCTACTGCGTGGTGCATTTTGCACTTTTAGAGCTACTCATATCAGATTGATCAGTGGTTAGAAACCAGATAGACTGAGTCTCCTGACCTCCTAGATGGTTTGTTGGAGTAAGGGTGGCTTCTTACTCTATAAAACGGACTCAATGTAACCCAGTGCCGTAAACCCGCTGCCTTGTGGTCAGGTTTTTGAACCAAAAGCTTTGACTGCGAACCCTAATCGTTCTTCTCTCTAGGTCCGGGCAACCTAACGGTATGCTGCCAGCGCAATACAATTCTATTAACATATCTTCACATGACTTCTTCACGCTCTGGCCGTTGCAGAGGATGATCAACGGCGCTCTATCTCCGCATTGGGCAGAGCTCAAAGGGGTTTAGATGTTACTGCCCAAGCCTTCCCGTCTTCTTATTATCCCTCTGGAGACGATAGAATATGACCTAGAAAACATAACGTCTTCTGTACAGACTTCGACGTTTTGATTTGTCCCCCGCTGGGCTGGCAGTGCAAACAGCAGAGGCGAGGGCAGCGGTACAACAATGGCGACGAAGTTGTCAATCGAACACAGAAATGGTAGTCAGACAAAACCTTTACAGGCACTTTTGCAGCAGCTGGCCAAGGTCATCGAGATGTTGATGCAGAAGCTGTCGATACAACCAAGCTCAGGGTTACGGGCAAGTAAAAGTATCCCCTTTCCAGAAACCCTGACTCAGCAGATCAGTGAATTCCATTACGATGCATTCCATTATGAAGCGGCAAATAGCGATCGATAGATTTTCTAGTGTTCGGACAAGTGCCGTCTGTTGGCCAAACTGCAACAAAGTGCGCACGTTGAGGCCTGCCAGTCTTAGGGAGGATAGAGGACACCAAAGAGAAACGGATGAACTAACACGGTCCGCTTGATTGAACATAAATTTGTCGACTGGAGTGAAGCGACACCATGCGATTGCCTGTGAGTTGATACTAGAAGACAAGTGAGTATTGAAGCAAGATGAGGGAGGGACAATAATTGGGGGACGGAAAACCAGAGGATGAAAGTGAAGTTGGAGCAGGACATTATTGAGCAAGAAACGCCAGAGGGAGAATAAGAAGACGGGAAGGCTTGTGCAGTAACATCTAAACCCCTATGAACTCTGCCCAATGCGGAGATAGAGCGCCGTTGATTATCCTCTGCAACGGCCAGGGCGTGAAGAAATCATGTGAAGATATGTTAATAGAATTGTATTGCGCTGGCAGCATACCGTTAGGTTGCCCGGACCTAGAGAGAAGAACGATTAGGGTTCGCAGTCAAAGCTTTTGGTTCAAAAACCTGACCACAAGGCAGCGGGTTTACGGCACTGGGTTACACTGAGTCCGTTTTATAGAGTAAGAAGCCACCCTTACTCCAACAAACCATCTAGGGGGTCAGGAGACTCAGTCTATCTGGTTCCTAACCACTGATCAATCTGGTATGAGTAGCTCTAAAAGTGCAAAATGCACCACGCAGTAGAGCTCAATGGATAACTGATGCACGTAAACCATCGCACAACTATAAGGTCCAGTCTCGTCATGAGGACAGCGAAGCTAGTACTTCCGGCCGATTAAATTGCTCTTTAGAGTGCATAACCCAGGGCTTCAAGCGTTCTGACAAGTTGTGGGTTGGCTGTCCATTCTCGTCCCACACAGTCACACTAAAACCAGGTCTCCAGCTGCTCGTTTTCCGTAGGAGAAAGACTAAATTCCGAGGGTTACAAAGGAAAGCAGCCGTTTACATCTCCGACGCACGATGAGACGATCAGATTTGGCGGTCTTTCCTCAGGCTGCCTTGAGATCTTTACGAGTTGCTATTTGGTGGCGAGCATTCAGAAGTTCCAGGACTCCGTAGAGACCCAATGTTCCTGTTGGCAATCAGATTTATCATATGAAAATATACCTGTTGCTAATAATGTTTGGCGTACTGGTACTCAGTGATTCTAACTGCGTTCAATGAGCGCTTACCCAGACCGAATGACGACACACTTTGATACGTACACAGAACACTTGGCTTCGCCAATTGACTGGTGTCTGTGTGCTCACAGCGTCATAGCGGACGTACGCCGAAAAACACCCGCGACTCGGTACATATAAATGCATGGTCGCGGTTCACGCTTGAGGTCCAAATCCAGCGGCAGGTGCGGGTGCAGTTTCTCCAACGGTAACTGATCGCGATGGGTTTGATTGGCATCCATACGTGGTCAGAGACTGGTGGGCACCGTGTCACCGTGTTCTGTGCCTAATACACTTCGGTCTAGCATGGTTCGGTGTCTGAATTTCTCCCCGGCTGGGTTGTCAATGCAGAGAGCAGAAGCAAGGGCAACATTAATACAGTCGTGCACCGAGTCAGTGATATCGTTTGTGTGGGCATATACTGTAATGATAAATAGGCACCGTGCCTCTAGGCGGCGATGAAGCGCTGAACGAGCCAGTTGGTCAGATGGTGCACATCCACCTACTGACTGGGATCCAATTTACCGGAGCAGTTTCAGCCTGGAGACTCAGAAAATGGTATTATCAGTACGTTGTACCGAAGCTTCGTTGCAACGCAACCGCCACCAGTCCCGCAAGGGCTAAGCATACTGAAAGGGTTGTTCGGCCTCCAACACAGATTCGAACCCGAGACCTCCGGGTTTAAAAGCAATCACTTTGCACTTTCGGTCAATAGCTCGTCCTGGGGAGGTCACATCAATGTCAAAACCGGCTCTACCTCTATCTCTGGATAGACGCAACGGAAGAGTAGGGAAAGGCTTACGTGAAGGGGATCAAAAAGCGAGCATATGGCTTAAGTTTTGCAGGCAGGTCTCCGAGAAGCAACAGATCGGTCGATAGGATCTCTGATGTTCAGTAAAGTGTAGCTTGTTGACGGTCTGTTGCAGCAAAGTGCGCACGCTGAGGTATGCCAGTCTTGGATCGGAAGCTGAAAATATAAGCGGATATACCATTGTCTGCTTGTTAGAGATGAATTTGTCGATTGGGTAATGACGCTTCGCGATTGCGTGAGTTGAAACTAGAAAACAAGCGTTTACCAAAGCAAGGCGGAAGAGGTCCAGTAATCGGAGTATTGAAAACATGGGGATAAGAAGTGAGTGGGAAAAGGGTTGATGGCGAAAAAGTGGGGGAAAACAGATGGAGAAACCTCAGCAGTAGCATCCTTAAGCTTATCTACCACGCTCGATGCAGCGGATATGGCACCGCTGATTATCCTCTGCTAAGGCCATAACATCGGGAAATTGTTTGAGAAGAATATCGGTGTATTGTTTTGGCAGAATGTTGTCGTGTTGCCCAGGCCTAGACAGGAACACGAATAGGGATCTCAACTAGCCTTTGGTTGCAATGTCTGAGGATAAGGCGGCGGGTTGCGGAGAGTTCGTTTTAAGGTATGGGGAGCTACCCTCACTCCAACCCGAAACTGGAGGACCAAGAGACTGATTGAGCGTGCACGAAGCACCACCCACTACAACTTAGTGGATCACTGAGTCATGCAAACCAGTGCAACGATAAGGTTGGCTCATATTGCGATAGTCCAACCTCAAATGTCGCGATTCATTGACTTAGTATCACTGGAATCGTCAGATGTGGAAGCTGACATCGAAACAAGGTAAATGGGATCAAATGTATTAGAACGTTACTGTCCTGTGCTCGTGTTTCGAAATCAAAAATGGATTTTGAAGGAATACATACAGCAAACGTATGCTGTTGTAAAATCTGATACGACTAACGCAGGAGGGTCAGATGTTGCGCTAAGTCTGGAAGAGGACCTTGCTTTCTTGCTAGTGCATCCGTCGAAGTCAGAGTTGAAAGAATGGGACAGATTAAGGAAGCAGGCGAAAAGTGACGAGATCTTTAGGGAATATTGTGTCACGCGGTTATCAAGTCCAAAAAAGTCGTGTGACATGTCAGCCTTTTGTGAAACAGTTAAACTATGTACATTACATAAGATTAGATCGCCTAAAACAAAAGGCTTGCCGTAAAGTGTAAATATGAGTTGCTGTCGGTGTGATCCAATAATGTAGGCTGCATAGTGGATGTCAAATCCAAACAAGCCAAGATAGGAAAAGTTAGTAACCAATAGGGGTGGAAAAGGCAGACAGAAAACTCATCAAAGTTTTGCGTGGTCAATATGTACAGGTCGGGTGAAAATGTTAAGGATAAAATTCCAAGAAACGGAATGAAACGACGTGGAAGAGACCCTCAAAAGAATAACAGTGATCGATCAAAACAGGTGGAGTTCGCTAGGGATAGCCGTGAGCATCGACACAATTTGCATTTAGATGAAGAATATGTTACAGCAATTGGAAAATCAATGTGGAACTTGGAGACAATGGTATCGAAAACTTAAACAAAGAATCTGGTGGGACATCGAAAATGAACTCAATAAAGTGAAAAAATATAACCAGTTAAGTTAAAGTTCTGAGTATTGATAGGGAAAATGCAGCAAAGGATAAGTTGAACAGAAAGCAACCAATCTAATGTATGTACATGTCTGGTGAAAACATACAAAAATCAATATGAATAAACCAACTATAAGGTAAATGGAGCACCAAATATTGTGTTATATCGGAAGACGCGCAACAGGATGGCATTACTGACTGAGTTCTATCAAACAAAATTAGTGGTGGTCGGAGAAGCAGTGTGAGTGGGCGCCGATCATTTATCCTTGAGTTTCGTAACCCTTGGGGGAGCGACGGGCCAGCCAGTGCCAAATGCACTAAAGTTAAACTTTTTCTTATCAGCCGGCTTCAGAATCTAACGGTAATGGATGAATAATAGAACGGCAAGGAAAATACCTGGAATGAGCAAGTTAGCGAACCGTCAACAGTCATCATGGCACCCGCATTGTCGAATTCCCCACAATAATTAGGCGCAGAAAAAATAGTCACCAGCTGTCGCTTGGCGAAAAATTCATATCCATCCTCTACCACCTGGAAGGATCAATAGACATGTTAAACGTACTTGGTGTGCACGACAAATAAGGTCCAGATCATTGTCAGTTAAAAATTTTGTAACAACACCAGGCCCAAAAGTGAAGCTAACGCCCCGGTCGTTTTCACCCCATTCATTGGCGTCTTTGTCTGGATCGGACCACAGTAGATCACATAAGAGCCCCTGTTCGGGCACGTCAGTTGGACGCATAATTCTGTGTATTTGCTCCATGGAATGTAAATCGGGGGACAGGCCATTAGCGCTAATGGGCACAAGACCAAAACTTACCACCGTGGCAGCAAAAAATTTTTTCATCGATAACCGCTACAATCGGCAGGCAATTGAAACAGTCTGTGAAAGTTTTCCATAGCTTAATTGAGTAACGGCGCTTGCCTAAAGAATCGTTGATTGACAGTGAGAACATACACTCGTCATAGAAGCCATAAATGCGGTTGATTGAAGCACATTCATGATTTCCACGAAGCAAGAAAAAGTTTTCAGGATACTTTATCTTATAGGCGAGAAGAAGCGCTATAGTCTCGATTGATTGTTTTCCGCGATCCACATAATCTCCAAGGAACAAATAATTAGCTTCAGGCGGAAAGCCGCCATATTCAAACAATCTTAGCAGATCATAATACTGGCCGTGAACGTCTCCGCAAATTTTTAATGGGGCTTCTAACTCCAACAATATAGGCTGTTGAAGAAAGATTTCCCGTGACTTGATGGCCAAAAAGCGGATCTCCGACTCAGTCAACTGAACGTTTCTGCCGGGTCTAGAGCCGCGAACTAAAATAAAGTATAGGTTATAGTCCAGACAGGATTTAAATGGAAATTACCCACGAGAAGGCGGGAGATCAGCCCGTCCAAATCTAAATCAGCGGCATTGGCCATAGGTGCCAATACGAGTTCAATTTCAAGCTAGCCTCGTATGCGATCTTGAAATCTACGCAAATCCAAGTCTAAGTAGGATGAGTGACAAATTTTTGAAACATTCTAATTACTGTCCCTATCAGAGAATCGGAATCAAGGGCAGTGTAATAGGCATCCGGTCGAGGGTTCTGAGGGCTTGCGGTTCTGCGGGCGTACGTAGGTCGTATTAGACCGAGGGCGCTGAAAGGCAAAGGAGATACTTCGTAGGCGGCTGGAGAGACCCAAACTAAGTGTCGGAGCTAGATTAACTGTGTGCTCGTGTCAGATCTGGTGGCTAACTGGGCGGTTCAGTCACAGCTGCCCGTGGAGGATCGAGCTCGAGACGGCTAGATGGATGGCGTGAAAGCGAACGACAGATGGCCATTCCAACAGGATAGAAGACGAAATGGTAAGGTAAAGAGAAGAAGAAACGACGCTCACAATAAAGGCTACGCTCGGCGACAACTTACTTGTTGACTTGCTACTGGGACATTGACGTGCTACAGCAGAACTTGCTGCACAGTCAAGTTCAAGTTCGCTTGGGACTGGGACGATAGGAGAATCTCGTAAGTGTTCCATCTTGTGTGGATCATTGGGCTAGGAATTGATGAAGTGTTCAGTTATTGATGGATCTAAAACAGAACACCCGTATCGCACCCTGGCCAACCAGTTTCCGGACCTAGCAGTCCCTGCTGTGACAGTCACGTGAGGTAGGCAATGGATAGGAAGAGAAATCGAAGGTAAAGAATAAGGAAGTGCAGTTGAAATAAGAAAATAAAGCGAATGCATGAAGAAAATTAGAGAACAGGAAATCGAGGTATTAAGATACGAGTTAGGAAAAGGGAAAGGTTTCGCGTTGCCACCCAAGAGCGTCAAGTTGCCGCTCAAACCCCTGACAACACTTTCTGGAAGCATTTTCCAGCGCTCGATGACTCGGCGTGACAGCCGCACTTCCGCCCTAATCCGATCCGACCGCGGTTGGTTCAGCCTCAAGGAATGACGGCGTAACACAGACAATCTAGCGGGACTGCATAACCAAGATAAATCTGGACCAACCTTCCCAGTTAAGATACGGTAGGTTAGGATTAGGTCTCCTCTAAGCCTTCGGTAGTGCATTGAATGCATTCCCGAACTAAGTAGACGCTCGGGGTACGTCCGTCCCCGTAATCCCTCAACTAACCTAGTACCCACCCGTAAAACTCTCTCTAGCTCCATTTTGTCCCGGACGAGGCAGGGCAGACAAGCCTGGATGCAGTATTCCCGATGAGGCCGAACGAAAGCCGAGAACAGTCTCGTAAAGCTGCCGCCTGTCAAGACTCCGAAAGAACGTCGTATTAACCACTTAGTTCTGCAACCAACCCATGCAACAGTTTTGGGTGAATTAAATCAGGTCCATAGGCCTTAGAAGGGTTCAGCCCTTGTAACAGCCTACGAACTTCCGTCTCCGCTACAATAAATTCAGATAGTTCTGAACAGTCTGGGATCCTGCAAACCAGCTCAACGCCTGTCAAAGAGGTTTTCCTCACAAACGCTGCTGCATATTGCCTACTAAGTACGCAGACCTTGTCATAGTCCGTATGCGCATGAGTACCGTCAGCACGCATCAATACTGGAATTGACATGTTCGAACCGCAGCGCCTTTTGACATATGCGAAGAATCTTTTTGGATTCTCTGAAGCTTCGTCTGCTAACCCTATCACAAAATTAAGCCCAGCATTCCTTAAGTGTTGCTTACACCTATTTCTAGTCTTATGTTACGTCATAAGTATCGGTGGACGGAGCATCTCGATAAGTCCGCCAACATCTAAACCTCTTTGTGAGCAGATGCCTGCCAGTGGGATCTATCCAGGGCGGCTGTGCTCGTGCCTCCTTTCTCCTTGTGACTGGGATGAAGGGAGCAGAGACCTCCACGAAGTAGGACTTAAATTTATCCCAGACAATCTAGACACTATCATCGCCTGAGATCTCACAATGGAAATCCGAAGCCTTGGCTCTCAGTGATTGATAGTCTGCGTGTCATGTTTTCGGGAGAGACTCAACAGAATTCTGGTAGCGTTTAGACAGAGTACAACTGAAAAGCAAACAAACATGATTACTGGAACCCATTGGAGGTCCGTAAGTTATGACACGAACAAAATCGATTGACTTGGCAAATACAAGGTTTAAGATAGACGGTACTTGGGCGCCCATGTACCTAGTGGGGAGGTCAGTGAACTGATGCAACTGATGCTCAAGTGGATCAGCGCCGAATGTGCCTGACGCTGAGTTGCAAGAAAGATCTGCCCAGCAAACTTCCGGAAGGCTGAAGTAGCCCATCACCAAGCACTTGTTGCCGGATTGGGAGCGAATAAAGCCAAGTACCACTTGGGGTACGCTCTCAGGGCTTCTATACACAATTACAACTGTAACCTGAACCAAGGATGTGCTAATCACATCCGACAAAGCTTTAACAGTTTGTCTGCTAACTGGAATAAGCAAGTCTTCAAAACGTCAAATTTACAGCTCACAAAGAGCGACGCCTCTTCCCTGCCGACCAGCGGAGCGATCGCATCTAAATAATGCGTAGTCAGATAGATGTACTTCCCCATACGTTATGTCCTGAGACAGCCACGTTTCAGTGAACTCGAGTATATAGGGATGAGACCCATCTAAAAGCAGACCTAACTCGCACACCTTATTCCCTAGGATGCGCACATAATTTAGCACTATCTGAAGGTATTTGTCAGCATCCCCATCCTCATCCTCATCATCCTCATCATCATCACCATCATCCTCATCATCCTCATCATCCTCATCCTCATCATCCTCATCCTCATCCTCATCACCATCATCATCATCATCATCATCATCATCATCATCATCATCATCATCATCATCATCATCATCATCATCATCATCATCATCATCATCATCATCATCATCATCATCATCATCATCATCATCATCATCATCATCATCATCATCATCATCATCATCATCATCATCATCATCATCATCATCATCATCATCATCATCATCATCATCATCATCATCATCATCATCATCATCATCATCATCATCATCATCATCATCATCATCATCATCATCATCATCATCATCATCATCATCATCATCATCATCATCATCATCATCATCATCATCATCATCATCATCATCATCATCATCATCATCATCATCATCATCATCATCATCATCATCATCATCATCATCATCATCATCATCATCATCATCATCATCATCATCATCATCATCATCATCATCATCATCATCATCATCATCATCATCATCATCATCATCATCATCATCATCATCATCATCATCATCATCATCATCATCATCATCATCATCATCATCATCATCATCAGCATCAGCATTACAGCGCGCGCGACTCCATCATGCTTAGACCTGCTGTTGACAAGCTGTGAGCAGCGTGTACATAACATTAAAGTCTTAGAGCCTCTGGGAGCGAGTGACCACTCAGTGATCATAGGCAGTTTAGAACTACCGCTACCGTATCCTCTCCCACTAGAGTCAGCCTTCAACTACTGGAAGGCGGACTTTAATGGCCTCATTCGAGCAGCGAGCCAGATTGACTGGTCTTTACCACAGGATTCATCTATTGAAACCTGTTGGGCTATCATTAAAGAGGAAGTGAAATCGTTGTGCGCCCGATTTGTGCCCCTCAAATTTCGGAAAGTTGGGCCAGTCAAACCACATTGGTTTGACAAAGAGTACAACAAATTGGCCCGACGGCGACGTAGACTATGGAACAAATTCGTGTTATCTGGCTCTGATGAGGACTACAATGCCTACAAGGTACAGCGAAATCGCTGCAACAACGCGAAAACAAGAAAACGCAGAAGCTTCGAAGAGGAGCTTGCAACTGCCTCAAAAACTGCTCCCAAGAGGATCTTCGCATATGTGAAGCGGCGCCTAAGGCCTATAACCAATATCCCAGTGTTAGAAGGCTCAGAAGGACAGCCTCTAACCTCGAGTACAGATCGTGCGTCAGCATTGGCAACGCACTTCGCCTCCGTATTCGCAAGTGACCAGGTGTCTGTAATGAGTTCGACGAGCACCGCTCCAGCCGAACTCAACAGCCTGGACTGCAATATTGAGGATGTGCGCAAGCTTCTAGCAAATCTTGACGGGACGAAACCTGCTGGACCAGATGGTATACACCCACTAATCCTCAAGTCATTATCGACCATAATTGCACCTTCTGTAACTGAACTGTTTAACAGGTCACTATCCACTGGTCTACTACCGGACGACTGGAAATGCTCAGTCGTAAAGCCTATCCCGAAAGGTGGTAACCCAAGCAAAGTGGATAACTACCGGCCGATCTGCCTGACGGCAGTTTTGGCAAAGACGCTCGAGAAGATCGTGAAGAAGAGCCTTCTGCTACTTCTCGAGGCGAAAAACCTGTTAACCTCCGCACAGCATGGTTTCCTGAAAGGTCGTTCGTGCATCACCAACCTACTGTTGACGAGGCACGAATGGTTACAAGCGCTGAACAAAGGCCAATCGGTCGATGTCATTTACATTGACTTCAGTAAGGCTTTTGACAAGGTTAACCATGCACTGCTCCTTGACAGACTGAGGATGTGCGGTGTTGGTGGTTCGCTGCACAAATGGATCAGCAATTTCCTTACTGATCGAAAGTGGAGAGTCCAGGTGGACAACCATCTAACTGAGTGGTATCCATCGAGCAGCGGCGTTCTCCAAGGCACTGTACTGGGACCGATATTGTTTCTAATCCATATAAACGATGTGCCTCGGCTACTACAATCACATTGTGCTTTGTTCGCAGATGACTTGAAAGTGTGGAGAGTAATCCGCACACTCAATGATTGCGATTTACTTCAGCAGGATCTCGACCGCCTCTCGACGTGGTCTGCAGAGGTTAACCTTCCGATCAACCCTGCCAAGTCTCAATTAATGAGGTTGGGTAAGTGTGATCACGGCCGAACGTACACAGT